AATTACTTGTACCTGGTGATGACAAAACCTTGTCGAAACGTTGTACATTTGCTGTTGTATTAAAGTTTTTCTTCATTACCCATTCAAGCCGTCTCCAGCCATTATAAATCACGTTTGTATCCAACAAATTGACTTAATTATATAACTGGTTATGAAATTCCATATGATAATACAAAAGTAAAATATCAGCTGAGAAGTTTTAAAATCCTGAAGTTCAGTTGAATTTGTAAAACGGTAAGCTACCTCTAGCACCTTAATTGACTCAGTACAGGTCACAAGGTCACACTGTATAATCTGATTATAAATTTTTTCCATCGTTAAAAACTGCTAAAATTTAGATTATCTGTTTGTTAAATTGAAATTGAAATGAATTGTGGTTAAAGTTTATGATTTAGATGTCCGTTTATGGCATACCTTAGTCATCTTAGTGGATAAATTAAGGAAACTTTGAAATTATACAAAAATAAGTAATAACGGAAATTAATATTTTAAGATTTGAAGTAAAAAATGAAAGATAAGCTGTAAATAGCCCATAAATAATTTATTCTCTACCTAAGTAATCAAAATGTTTTTGTTTTCACAACCATTATAACTGTTTTATCACTTCCTCCTAATTTCGGTTGTTGTCCAACATAGTATCAATATTATTTTTCAGGTCATTGACGGCCCAGTAACATTACGATCTTCGGTGACGAGTCTTTTTTCATGGAATTGAAGTTGGTAAATTTGAAACAATTATTAGAATTATGGAATTTTTACTATTTCTTAATCGTCTGCCAGTCTTGATTTTACAGCAAACGCAGAATAACCGAGGGAGAAATCACAGGAAATGTTATCTCCAGCTTCCAGATTGATAGTTGTGGCTTTGTTTCATATCTTTTGCTTGATTCTGTATCATCGTGTATTCCTTAAAAATAGAAAATGTTAACATCAAATTTCATTAAATAGCTACTGGTTCCTGATAAGTAAATTTAGTTCAAAAATCCTTTATTGACTTACTGCTCTACAGTAAGAATACATGGTTGAGATTTTTAGTATACTTTTTCAATAATTAACTATTGTATTTTAAAACATTGTATAATACATTTTTAAAACTGAATGGCTCAACCTATCACTGTCACATAAACAGTGGAATATTGCCATATAGAATCTTGAGCTCATTGAAGATTTTTTGCCAAAATAATTTCGTAAACTAGAATAGATAGTATTCTGTTGAAACCGTCTAATGGTTAAGATAAAAATAAATAACAAAGTTTCTTGAAGAGTTCAGATTAATCCTGTTAACAAGACATAAGCTACCGGGACAATTACGCTTGAAATTAAACTTCCCTTGACTATATAACATAAAACTATATAATATGTTTTCACCAACTCATAAAATCCTATTCTACGTTCCTCCAACGTTTGTGCTCTTGGATGCGTTTGGTCACGTATAATATTATAACGCGAAGAAAAAAAAACAGAGCCTATTACAAATATATGACAAGCTACATGGTTTTAAAAATACTACACCAATAAACTTTGATATTCCAGTTCATACGTTTGAGCATAGAGATAAAAATGGAAGAGAACAACAGAGATGCTGCGGTTCTATCAGAACGACTTATACGCCCCCAGACAAAGACACTGGACAGACCTACCCATGATTTTGACCTACCCGTGGTTGATAGTGATGGCGAGACTTGCAGGTCAAAGGGAGCACACAGGACAGTTGCTGTCCAGAGGTTTTCTAGGTACAGTATCCCACCACAAAACGATTTTACTAGAACTATGAACAAAGTACCTAAACAAGCTCATACTACGATGAATAACCATAATTTGGCACTAGGTAAGCACAAATCTTATGATCCTCTAAAGGCCAGTCAAGATGGTAGTAGAATTCCTTTATCACAAAATGTTCGTAATTCTAAAAATCATCCTCATAATCGCCGTTCACAGCCTTGTAAGGCGTGCACCCGAAGAGTCGCCCCAGAGCGCTTGCATAATCATAGCTGTAACAATTGGCATAACCATAAGTCTAAAATATCTAAGGCTCCAGTTTCAGATGAGTTAAAAATCCAGCTTAAAAGTGAAACAGAATCAGATTCGAAAGATATCCAGTCCATGGAAGGAAACAACCACACGGAAGAGAAAGACGAAACGAGTAGAAATATCTTTACCAAAAAAATTAACGAACCTAAGAACGTGTCCAAGGCGCCGAAGATTCAACAATTTCACAAAATGGACGTAGAAGCAGATATGAACGAGTTAAGCCCATACGCTGGAGCTTCAAACCCAACTGGGCCTCCAACTGTAAATTGTTACATTTGTGGACAAGAAACTGATAGGCAGTCGATATCCGATCACGAATCACAGTGCTTGCAGGTTAGTTCTTTTTGCTGTCGTGTTCATCTATATATATGTGATCAAACTAAAATTAAAGCTACCATTAGTGTCCAAAATAAAATTATATTTTATGTAAATTAGGTTAAAAATATGTGAATTGTTTCTGTTAGTAATGATACTGAAATGATATAGAAAATAATAAATCAGAAAGCTTACTACTCGTACAAAAACCAAAACTTAAACACACCTAGAATTATTATACGGGATTTAGTAAATAATTGAAACTTTTGAATGTTTTTTTTTCATATATACACCTGGAAAAAGTTAAGCACCCCCAAATATTTTTCAGGATTGCTTATTGAAAATAAGGTTTAATTTTCATGATGTTGAGCATAATTTCAAACATAATTAAAAGGATGTGAGCGTTCAGGTGTGACATTTAAATCAGGCGCG